GGTTAGGAGACTATGGAGTCTTCTAGAAGGTAATTAATTATTAGGAATATTATCCTGGATGGGAAAAGGAGATGGAAGATAATAAGGATTCCTAAACCTAAAGGAATAAGCCCATATTTAGCACCTCCTTTAGGTCCCTATTGTAGCCTATAAATACACTCGGTCCCCTAACCTATTGGACATGCTTTACACGTTTTTTCTCCCCGAAGGGCTGGAGAAATTCGGCCTCTTCAAGCGAGAAAGAAGAGAGAGATTCTTCTTCGAAAGAAAAATCGGTTAGCACCGTAAGGTCTTAGAAGAAGATGATCAAGAGGTTTTGGGAAATCTAATAAATCGCTCCACCAAGATTTATTAGAGATCGTGTAAAGGTCATACAATAGAAGATCGAAGGTTGTTATGTCGTATCCATCGAATAAATATATTTCCCAGATTCGTTCTCTGTTCATTGAAATCAAGCGTTAAATTGACGCAAGACCTTGTGTAGCGCGATGGTGTGCGGCGCTGTCTTCTCCGTTCGAGGTCGCGGGTTCGATCCTTCTCCTTGCGGAAATAGGACAATTTTTTGCTCCAGGCGCGCGGGCTTTCAGGCCCGCATAAGGCCCGCGCGCGGCCCGCAGTCCTCACCCAGTCTTCAGCCCGCGCAGCCCGCGAGCAGCCCGGTGCCAGCCCGCGTGCTCCCAGCTGCCTCTTGGCCCAAACGCGCGTGTCCCGGCCAATTGCAACGTACCTCTGCGGCCCAAATAGCTGAAGCGCGGCCCAGACACTTGGATATCAGCTCCAGACCGGTCCAAGTGAGCCCAGCAACTCCAGCTCGAGCCCAGCACGTCTCCAGGCGGTCCAGACCACTCCAGATTGCGACCAGTGAGCCCAGATCCGGTCCAGGAGCGGTCTAGCAGGTCCAGCAGCTCCGGTTCGAGTCCAAGATGGTTCCCGAGCGAGTCCGAAGAGTCCAACTCACCTACCGAAGGTCAGAGACGATCCGATGAGCTTGATGAGCGCGATTGGAACACCATGGTGACTCGATTAGAATCGAGAAAGGCCAAGTCTAGCCACCCATTAGACTTTGGTGTTCAGACGATCTCCATCAACGGAAATCAGAAACGTCTCAGAGCCGGCAAAATTTTATAAACCGTAAGTCCTAATCTTAACTATAGATTCCGCTGCGTTAGGATTTATTATTCA